TAAAAATTCAAAGTGGATCAGCTCATTCATTCCTTTGCAGTCTCTTATGGTGGGGTCCAGGCCAGTGGGCTTTCCTAGAATTATTTCTGCACCTTTCAACCATCCTGATCAGGCCTCCTCCTTCAGGGAGCTGTGCAGCCTTGTTCTCTTGCTAGACCTCACCCTATTATTTCCCAGGTATGCCTGTTTCTGAGAAACATTTAGAGGTCACCTTCTGTCCAGAGACCCTGGGCTATCAGCTTTGGCCCTACTATTTTTCACTGGATGACAGAATTTGACTTTTCCCCACTTTGATGCCTGATGCTGTCTATAGACCAAGCTTCTGGATGACATTCTATTCACTTACCCACCCGTAAATATTTACTAAGCACTTACCGTGTGCCAGACACTACTGTAAGTACTGAAGATACAATTGTGCCCAAAATAAACAAAGTCCCCGACCTCAAGGATCTTATAGTCTAGAGGCAGGAGGCAGATACTAAGAACAGTGCTACATGCCATGAGGAAGATAAAGCCACATGATGTGGTATGACTGAGGGATAGTGGAGACACTGGTCAAGGGTATCATTAGGGAAGAACTTGTAAAGTTCACCACCGGGACTCCTTCCACCTCTCATATCATAACCTGCACACAAAATTAAGGAACATACAGAAATCTGTTATGCATTGATGCAGCGAGGCTCTGAAAATAGCAGCTGCAGCCACAAACCAAAGAACGGGCCTTTGTGAAGAGTGAAAGAAGCTGTTTGTCCTGAGCTCATCTTGTAAGCTACAGATAGAATTCCCTACTATTACTAAAGTAAAATCTTTAAGCAAAGAGAGGAATCAATTAGAGGCAAATAGGATGTCTTAGTCCATTAGACTTTCCTTTCCTGCTAAGGTTCCAAGGCCCAAATTTTCCAATCAGAGCCCAAGAGAGTATGAACTTACATGAAGGCAGCTAGTAGATCCACTACAAAGCATAGGGTTGATGGCATTTAGTAGAGGCCTGGGTCAAATTAAAGTACACAAAATTGGAGATGAATCCCTTTCGTGGTGTAAAGACCCACGCTCTCTGGGTGATCATGTTACACCCTCACCCTGGACACCACCTTCAGGAACATGGATCCACTCCAATGGCTGCAATGCACCTGTTTAAAATTAAATTGTCCCTAATTTTTCAAACAACATTGAACTCAATCCCCTCAGACAAATTAATACTACTTAGGAAGATCAGTCAATTTCAGAAACACTTTTTTATTAGACTTGAATCTAAACCACTCAACTTCCTGAGTAGTTTCACACGTGGAGCTACCGTTCCAGCCAACAGTGCACTTTTTATTTTGCATTAAAAACATCAAAAGCTGTCGGAGTCAGCCTGGTAGTCCAGTCTGTTAGAGTGGCACTAAGGTCATACTTTAATCGACTCTGACCAGGTTTAATTGTCCTCTGCTCATCATTAGCAATTCCATGGTTGAAAAATTATGCAAAGTCCCTTAGGGAGTTCAGGTTAGCCTGACATAAAGTCAGAGAGCTTAGCATATGGCAGAGAAGAAAAGGAACCAGGGGTCAGGAAAAGGCTCATCTGTTTGACCTAAGCCAAAGGCTAAGTCAGATGCCAAGAAGATGGAATAAAAGCTGTTCTTATTGCCCAGCCAGGATGCTCAGTGGTTGAATGCTGACCTATGAACCAGGAGATCATGGTTGATTCCCCATTAGGGCACATGACTGGGTTGCGGGCTTGATTCCCAGTAGGGGGTATGCAGGAGGCAGCCAACCAACGATTCTCTCATTGATGTTTATATCTTTCTCCCTCTCCCTTCCTCTTTGAAATTAATAAAAATATATTAAAAGTTTCTATTACTCTGGCCAGTGTGGCTTAGTCAGGTGTTATCGTGTGCACCAAAAGGTTGCCAGTTCAATTCCAGTTCAGGGTACATGCCCAGGTTGTGGTCTTAATTCCCATTAGGAAAAATGCAGTAGGCAAGAGATGATGTTCTGCTCTCACATTTAAAAAAATATATATATTTTTTATTGATTTCAAGAGGAAGATAGAAACTTCAGTAATGAGAGAGAATCACTGTCTGGCCACCTCCTACCTGCCCCACACTGGGGGTCAAGCCCACAACCCAGGCATGTGCCTGACCGGAATCGAATTGTGATCTCCAGTTCATACGTTGAAGCTCAACCATTGAGCCACGCCAGCCGAACTCTTCCCTCTCATATGTTTTTCTCTCTAAAAATCAATTTAAAAATCTTTAAAACCCCCAAACTGTTCCTATTGTTTTGAAATGCTTTAGAGGGTGTTAAGTGGACCATTGAGTTAATGCATCTGTTCTTCATTACAAAAGATAAATAAAATACCATCCCAGTGATTCAGTCTTTTCCTTTTAAATATATCCCTTGCAATGAAAAGATGGGAGCTCCCTTCCCTTTCACCCTTTTTTTTTTTTAAATATATTTTATTGATTTTGTACAGAGAGGAAGGGAGAGAAATAGTTAGAAACATCGATGAGAGAGAGTCATCGATCAGCTGCCTCTTGCACACCTCCTACTGGGGATATGCCCCCAACCAAGGTACATGCCCTTGACCGGAATCGAACCCAGGACCCTTCAGTCCCCAAGCCGACGCTCTATCCACTGAGCCAAACAGGTCTCGGCCCCTTCCACCTTTTTTTAACATTCATCAGGTGAAGCCAACCAAGGTAGTAGATGTTAGCACAGAGGCAGAGACAGTAGCCCCTGGGGGCACAGGACCCAGGGCAGGGTGGGGAGGGTGTCTGTGTAAGGAAGTGGTGGCAACAGTGGCTGGGAGTTGGGAATCAGAGTCTTAGAGAGATGAGGGCATTTATGTGTGGACAGTGGCAAAAGAATGGTAATATATGAGAGGATTGGCCCAATACAATGTGGATCATGGGAGTTTGGAATGATCGGAAAAGGGAATCACCAAGTACAGGGAGAATCAAAACTAGAATAAACTGTGGTGTTGGATTGAAATCAAAGGTATTGATCTGAACTGATGGTTTTAAATATATTTAAGTACAGAAACATTGATGTGAGTACATGTACAAGTACATACATATATCCCTCAGCTCCAGCCACTTAGGTGGCCTGGGAATAGGAACACCACAATAGCAATGAGCACACTTAGCTTGGTTTCTAAATTCCTTTCTCCACTCAAGAAACATAAGTCCTTGGGGGAAATGGCTGATTCAGACTGGGACATAAAAAGTACAAAATGAGCCTGGAACAACTTGTGCTTGAAGTGCTCAAAGAATAACTGGGACACATCAAAAGGTTACAGAAGCACTTGAAGGAGCTCCTGCTGGCTGAATCTAGGACAATATGAACATTAAAATACTATAGAAGCCCGGCCAGTGTGGATCAGTAGTTGAGTATCAACCTAGGAACCAGGAGGTCAGTTCGATTTCTTGGTCAAGGAACATGCTAGGTTGCTGGCTGGATTCCCAGTCGGGGCATGCAAGAGGCAGCCAATCAATGATTCTCTCTCATCAGTGATGTTTTATCTCTCTTCCTCTCTGAAACCAAAAAAAACATATATTTAAAAAAATGCAATAGTATATAATCATTGAATAAAAAAGAAACCCATGAGTCCATATTAAGTAAAAGGATGAGAAAAGGAAGTCTTCCTTATAGACACCAACCTGTAAATATAGGGTGAATGGGATTAGAAAACACTATATGACCACCATCATAGAGTAGTAATCAGGCAAGAAACAGCAAAATGCTGAAACCAGGGGATAGTTTGGTGAGGAAGGGATATCTGTAGTCTCAAAACACTCTACAAAATATTTACTGGTGATTTTTCGTGGAGAATCTCCACAGACACCACCTCAATTAAATAATCAAGATTAGCATCACCAATGGAGTAATTAAAAAGCATGTATCCTAGTAGGAAGGAATAGGAGCAGCACAGCATTACCTGATATTCCTGCCAAAAAGGTAGAACTTGAACCAAATTGTGAAATATCAACAAATCCAATTTGTGGGGCAGTCTGCAAAATAGCCTGTAATCTTCAAATGTCAAGGTCATGAAACAAGCTTGAAGGAGGCTGAGACATGACTAAGTACAACAAAATAGCTTTTTAAAAAATAAAGTGATAAAGGTTATATTGGGACTCTTGGAAAAACTTGGTTATCTGTGGGTAAGTGTTTCCATGTAAACTTATTCTGATAAGACTTATTTGGTGATACAGAACATCTCATAACAGGAATTACATCCTCTTAAAAGTGATTCAGGAAAAAAGTGACTCTTCTTATAACATTCTTGGTACTATACTTTTCTGTAAGTTTGGAATTATTTAAAAAATTGCTTATCTTTTCACATGTAAAAGAATATAACAATTATGAGAATATCCAAGTTTAATTTGAAATTCCACAATGTTGGCATGAGGAATTGACATTTATTTGGTAAAATTAATAATATATAACTGGCCAGTGTTCTCAGTGGTGAGAGCGTTGGGTGGAGCACGGAGGGGTTGTGAGCTCGGGCACTTTATCTGGGTTGCAGGTTCGATCCGGGATGCATTCGGGAGGCAACCAATCAATGTGTGTCTCACCCTCCCTCCCTTCCTTCCACTCTCTCTAAATATTAATGGAAAATATCCCAGGGTGATATTGTGTTGCTTAGTGGTTGTGCATCAACCTGTGAACCAGATCATGGTTCAACTCACGGCGGGGTCTCATGCCTAGGTTTCGGGCTCAATTCACAGTAGGGGTATTCAGTAAGCAGCTGATGATTCTTTCTCATCATTGATGTTTCTATCTCTCCCTTCCTTAGAAATCAATAAAAACATATTTAAAAAAAGAACATCATATAACTTATGGACCACAAGAGAGAAACATGTAAAAATAATAACTGAAAATAAGCAGAACATAAAAAAAGGTAATACCAATGACAATCACATTTAGAAGTGAAGGGGTGTGGATAAAATAAAGTTCTCTCAATTCCTATTGTGTCAAACATTTAAGGACACAATAAGACATAAGACAAAATTTTTCTAAAAATGAAGATCCTTTTAATTTTTGGACACAGGTTAGAGAAGGGGAAAAATGCTTAAAACACCTTGGAACCAGGAATTTGCATTTCAAATAACTTAATGAAACATACAGTCAAATGGCACTTTATCATACATGATACTTTCACATGGAAATTTCTTGATGCCTTTAAAATTCCCAATTCCCATGAATACTTTAGTTATTAAGATACTATAAAATGACAAGAAAGGTATTTTGAGATCTCAAAGTAAGAAAAAGCTGGAAAAAAGTATACATTAAAGGGCTTCACAAATAGAAAGCATGATTGTTAGAATCTTGATAAAAGTCATTTTCCCTGGGTTCAAGGCTCAAGTTTCCTTGGACTGTCCAACATCAACAAGACGCCAGCTGTGAATGTTTTTAAAAAGCCACGGAGCCCCCATCCTGTCAGGAGCCAGAGTTGGCCAGAAGAGGTTTGCGGTATTTGCACTGAATCCAAACTCGGTACATTGTCAGCTGTTTCCCTCGGTTCACTTGCAATCGACGGTCCACCAGGTTCTGAACCTTTTCCAGTCCAGCAGTTGTGAAAAGTGTGTCCAGTTCATCTAGTTTGGAAAATAGATGTTTATGTATTTTTCCCAGAAGAAAAGTATAGTACCTACCATTTTCTATGTTAAATGAAGCTCCTTGAGAGCTTAGGTATTTTTAGTGGCTTCAGCAGGCAGTTTAGTTAAAAATGCAGCAGTGCTAGGAAAGAGCAAGTTCATGTTCAGGCAGGGGAAGCCACACCATGTGGGAAGGGTGAACTGGAACCTGAGGGAAAGCTTCTCTAAGAGTCAGCTGATGGGGAGGGCTCTATGAATACCTTAAAATTACATGTAAAGATCTACCTATATGTATGTGAAAGCTCCCCCCCCCCCTCTTTTTTTTAAGGGGAGAAGTTCTATCACTTTAACCAGAGGCTCAGAAAAATACGTGATCTGACAAAGGTCCCAGCAATGGAGTGTTCTTAGGGCACTGGTGGAGAAGGAAATTGCAGCTGGGCGAGCAGCAAGGGAGAACAGTTCAAGGTGATGCCTGGAACCCAGTGAATGGTGAGTTCACCCTAATTAAGATGCATCTAAGGCACAACCCAGCTTAGAGGGTGAAAAAGCTGCACTGGAGTCTAGCAAAATGAGTTGGCTTCCCATTTTGAACAATGTGACAGAGAGGAAGGACAGACAGCAGAAGAACAAGGCGGAGGACAGAAGATGTACAAGCTGAGCCTATCTGGAGAACAGTGAGCAGTTCAGGTTGGCTGTGAGGGACGGGAAAGGCTAGGAAAAGGTTGTAAAAGGTAGGAGGGCCCAATGAACTGACTTCTGAAAGTCCACCAGGAACATTTAATATACTTTGGAAGTATTAATATAAAGATGAGTGTTGTTTCCGTACCTTGGGTGAAGAAGTAAACTCTGGTGCCATCACCTCTCACATAGAAATTTTCAGACAGACACTGACCTGCGCAGCAATGTGGCAAAAATAGAGAAACTTTTAAGCACTTTCTTGAATTTCACTGTGAATCAAAGGTACACCACAGATCATCTTCCTGGGTAGAGAACAAAATTCTTCTTTGGTTATACTTGGTACTTAGCAGGAATCTGCAATTTTTTTCCTACAAAGGAATGGTGCTCTGGAGAAGGACAGCCAGAGGGGAATGATCAAACTGCAGGCTAAGTAACTTATACTTGTGACTCTCAGCTTCCCAGTCTACAGTCCTGCTTTCTCTGAAACAGGTTGTGTTTTTGCCTTTTCCCTGATTAAATAAATACTACCTACTCTTTGTTTAAAGAAAAAAAAAAAAAAAAAAAAAGGAAAAGTAAATAAATATCAAACAATATCGCTAAGTCTAAGTATACCATTAAGTCTAAGCCACCAATACTATTTTAGTGTCATTTCGCATGTCTCTCTTGTGTCTACATACATATTCATATATATGTCACACATATACTCTTTTTATCTTAGACACACACTCCCTTCTACTGCTAACCCCCGACTGTACATCAATTTAACACCCTGGTGTGTAATCCTTCACCTTTTAAATGTTAACATAATCTTACTTGCTTTCCTTACCTACGTATTTCTCCCAAGCTACTATTACATGTGGGCTCAAGTCTGAAATACTCATCTGTGCACTGCTCTCCTCACTTGGAAATAAAATGGAACACCTGTCCCAAAACCAACAGTATGCCCTTATACAGAGGCATTCACTTTGTTTCCAAGATTTTGCTATGTATATATTATGGCTGGTTCTTGAAAAATTCCCAAAAGGACTGTTAGATTGAATAGTTAATATAGAGTAGCTTTTTAAAAGGCCGTAAAAGGCTGGCCAGTGTGGCTCAGTGGTTGAGTATCGACCAATGAACCAGGGGGTCATTGCCTGGATTGCCGGTCAAGGCAGATGCAGGGGTTTCAGGCTCAAACCCCAGCAGAGTGTGCAGGAGATAGCCAACCAATGACTCTCTCTTATCACTGGTGTTTCTATCTCTCTCTCCCTTTCCCTTCTTCTCTGAAATCAATAAAAAAAATAAAAAATAAAAAAAAGGTCATAACAATTTATGTTTTATCAGTAGTGGAGAAACATCTCTCTTTCTTTGAACTGGCCAGCAATTGGTTTAAGAACTGGTGTCTCATTGTTACTTTTATTCCCTTGAAGTTTTTTTTGGCCATTTGAATATGTTCTTCTGTGAACCAACTCTAAAATATTTCTTCCGTTTTTTGGGTGGGTCACTGATCTTTTCCTTATCAGTTTGCCAAGAGTCCCTTGAAGAGCAGAGATATTAAGTCTTTATCTGTTTTATGCACCAAGAATACTTGTCTTTTAACTTTTTAATGACATCATTTGCCACATCACATTTAAAATTGTTTATATAATCAAATGTCTTTTTCTGAAAGTAGCTCTTTAAAAAGTAGCTGTCTTGGTTAAAAAGACCTCCCTAATACCTAATTATACAAGCCTTCAAAACAGACCACCCTTGTCATGCATGGTTTTATATATGAAGCTATAATTCTAGTGTCTACTCTGTTCCACTGATTTTTATGTCTATTCTGATGGCAAAACTATTGTTTTGATTATAGTAGCAAAATACCTTTTTTAAACCGAAGCTGAGCCATGTCATGGCGACCATAATCTCGCAGAAGCATCATCCCTCCAGGCTTCAAAAGCCTGCTCAGCCTAGTGATAGCATTCTGCATCCTGTAAGGGGGGGTGGGGTGGGGTGAGGGTAGGGAGGAGACAGAGAATGAAGATCAGGCCTCTTTAAGGATAAGATTCCCTTTCTTTTTCCTAAAAATATTTTTTTTACTGATTTCAGAGAGGGAGAGGGAGAGAAACATCAATGTAAGAGAATCATCAATAGGCTGCTTCCTGCATGCCCCGTACTGGGATGGAACCCATAACCCTGGCATATGCCAACAGGGAATGGAACCATGACCTCTTGGTTCATAGGTGGACACTCAAGCAGGCTGGGCAAGATTCCTTTTCCTTGCTGCATATTCTAAAAAGACCATGGACTTCCTAACCCTGAAGTCTTAGGTCCTCTGCCCTTGCTTTAGTTAGAACGGGAGCACACATCCAACTTCTGATGAGCCTTCTGGGGCCTAATAACTGAGGATAACCTCCTTGTCTTAGGGCTCCACCACAGGAAAGTGACACTCTTCTGGCTTACTTCCTCCTCCTCCTGGGATTGCCTCAGGAGGAAGCCATCCCTGCCCTGTGCTCCCACCACCTGCAATGCGACTGCTAGTAAACTCATCTCCCTCCCCCTCTAGGCCCAAGTTCTTTGAATGCAAATCTTTCCATTTGTTAAATAAAGACTGAACCTCAAGATAGTCAGTATGCAAATGAGTAACTGAGGGAAGTGCTTCACATTTCCTATTACACTTTTTTTTTTATAAATTTTTTTTTTAAACAGAAAGGCTTTTTATTTTTATTGATTTTTCACAGAGAGGAAGGGAGAGGGATAGAGAGAGCCAGAAACATCGATGAGAGAGATACATCGACCAGCTGCCTCCTGCACACCCCCCACCGGGGATGTGTCCACAACCAATGTACATGCCCTTGACCGGAATCGAACCTGGTACCTTTCAGTCCGCAGACGACGCTCTATCCACTGAGCCAAACCTGTTTCGGCTCCTATTATATTGATGCTTGGTATAGCATTCTGCTTTTCTAACTTCAGAAGTATAAACACTACAAACTTACAAAAAAAAAAAAAAAATCTGAAAGTTTATTTAACTACTGAATATCTTATTTTTAACTTTAATGCTGCGTTTCAGCCCATGCAAGTTTTTTATTTTTATTTTTTCCATGCAACTTTTTTAAAGTTGTTGCATTTAAACTTCTGCAGTTACTGATGTTTTGAGCCATGCAGGCACTTTGGGCTGTTCTGCATCTACCTTTACTGCACTCACAATATCCCTGTCAGGTCAGATGACTCAATGTTAGTCTAGAGCATTTGTTTCCCAAACTTTTGACATATGTGTACCCTTCTATAGTTTTTGTAGCTGAGTACCCCTCGCACTCATGAGAATTAGGCGCAGCTAAGCACGGTGCAGTGCATATCCCCACCAAGCTCCGGTGCAGCACGTACCCCCACCGAACTCTTCCCGTACCCTGGGGGCACGCGTACCACACTTTGGGAAACACTGCTCTAGAGGAAACACGGGCTAGATTTCTATCACTCCCCTGGGTCTCCAACCAACACTGCTTCCTTGAAACAGTATTTTACTAGGAAGACAAGTTGCCTACGGTATGTCTATGAGCCTTTAATGGTACCTTCTAGGGTACAGCAATTGTCTTTTATCTAAACTGATTTTATGAAATTCTACTGTACTCGTTTTCCACAGAACTCAAATATCAGAGAATAGCTGAGTTAGGCTTCACTGACATTCTGTGCTGTTAATAAGCTTGGTTTATGCCCTGGCTGGGTAGCTCAGTTGGTTAACGTAACATCCCAATATGCCAAGGTTTTGGGTTCGATCCCCAGACAGGGCACATACAAGAAGCAACCAATGAGTATATAACTAAGTGGAACAATAAAATGACGTTTCTCTTTCCTTTCCCCTCTCTCTAAAATCAATTAAAAAAAAAAAAAAGAGAGAGAGAGAGAGAAGAGAGAGAGAGAGAGAAGGCTTGGTTCATTTAAAAAGGCTAATAATGGGATGTTGAAACGACGTACTATGAGATTATCAATATGAAATTTCTCCAAATAAGATGTCCTCCCATTCTTTGGGGATATTATACCATAAAAATGAAAAGAAAAAAAAAGAACCAACCAATGAAGTCAATAAGCAGTTTGAGGCTGAAACAAAAGTTGGACTTTAAGACAAATTTAGGAAAACGGTCGAGATGTTTCTATCACTTTATATGGAGTGGTTTCATTCTGTCTTATCAGAACATTCTTTTTATTTAGGGCCCAACTCCGATATCAAGGTCCATGACTAAAGCTTTGTTTTTGTTATACTACTTACTTGTCTGGAACAATCGCTGAAAGAACAAATATGAGGATGATAATATCAAGACTCTCCCCGGGAATAGGATAACTCTTATCTTCATCACACAAATCATGAACAAAGGCAAAACACCTTGCTGCATCATATGCTGAATTTGCCTGCAGATAATTGGAGGAGAGAGACAACATGAGAAAATGTTCACAGAGCCTCAAGTAAACTAATCTTGCTTTAAATGTAACTGCAGTTACTTCCCTCTGAGGGATGGCGCTGTAATCATAAAGATACACATTCCTTTTTTTGTTGTTGTCAATACTCAATCGACAATATTTTTCCATTGATTTTTTGAGAGAGTGGAAGGGAGGGGGAGAGACACAGAGAGAGAAATATCAATTTGAGAGAGACACATTGATTGGTTGTCTCCTGGTTGGGGATCAAGCCTGTAACAGCAGTATGTACCCTTGACTGGAATCAAACCTATCCACTGAGCTAAACCAGCTAACAGAGGAGATTACCAGCTGCGGGGTTAACCCAGACTGAAGTCTTTGGTACAGGGACAGTCATTCTGGTGAGGAGCTGAGAATACCCAAACAGGGTGGACTGGGAGGGGTAAGCATGTGCAAAACCAGGGAAAACCTACTATAGAAAGTTAGCCTGCAAAGAGAAAACAAATTTGAAAAAGATAAGTGAGCACTGGGCAACGAGAGATAAGATTCTATGAACTCGGGAGGGGTGTAGTGATGGAGGGGACGGCAACGTCTCACTGGCCAGCCAACTTGCGTTGGTATCTGACACCTTTTCAGGGCTGAGTTTCAGCCCTGGCTACACTTGATGCTCTTGGGTTCTATGACATTCCACTTTACTGGCTGAGTTTGTCTACATGTTTCTGTGACTTGTAACTCAAAGAACTTTGGCTAAACAATCATCTCATTTCAATCCTTAAAAAATAAGTTTGGCGAGGCCTAAGACCTGCCCAGTTCCATGGCTGGCAAGTGGTACTCTGTATTTGACTCTTTTCTCTCCTTCAGGCTATTTCAGTAAATCTTTGACTTTTAGACCACAGTACAGTAAGGAAATAGCTAGAAACCATGATTTTTTAGACCCTTTCCCTTTAATCAGTGGAAATTACTGATAGGAGCCACTGCACTTACCTGGACCAGTTGTATAGCTGTGGAAGAAAAATCACAACAGTAAACAAAGAGTCTTGGGTCACTGAAATGGGCAGGAAAAACAAAACAAAACAGCAGAAGAATTACATTACAAACTGGATTATGTCTATGCTCTTTCCTGAGTAACATATATTAACAATGTAAAAGGTTTAAATCTCACTAATTTCCTTGATGACAAAGGTTAACGTATAAATCAGATTAAATCAAAACAACCCATAAATGGATAATGTAGAAATGTAAATCTCCTGTAACCCATGGCTCCCAATAACCAGTTACATTTGATGTAAAACTTTTGATAAACAACCCCTCACTTTCCTCCTCTTTGCTGTCATAGTTAAACTTTACAACATACTTACTTGTTGGTTTCTAAAATCGGAAAAACTGTGTTTCCCACACCACAACCAACCTGCAGACAGAAATGAATTATTAATCACAGAACTTTCCAAATTAATTACCCAAAGCAAGATAAATAATCAACAACAGATAATCTCGCCCACTTGTGTTAAGGATGATGAAGTGATCAGAGCTAAACAGTACCTATGACATTCCCTGACCTTGACTTCAGGAACATGTACAGAAATAGCATGGGCTTTCATTAGCTGAAGGAGCTAGAAAAAAAAGGCACAGGTTGCTCTTACTTTTTAAAAAAAACTATTTATTGTTAACAGGGTTGCTTTTATTTTTTGAATTCTAGTGAATGGTCCTGTAGATGAAATATTTTCATATTGAGCTCTACAATATCACAGAAAAACATTTCTAATGGACTGAGAAATTTTCATGAAAAGAGAACCATGATCACACTGTTCTTAAATATGAGAGGACAGGGCGTGGCGAGGATGAGCTCCCGATTCCACCCCGCAGGGTGGAGTTATCCCTAGCCCTTACCCAACCAATCAGGGTTAGCCGAGGCAGTGACATCACCACCGACCAGAGTAAAACCCCTGGACTGGGCAAAATTCGCTCTCTCTTCCGCCATGCTGCCGGCGTGAGTGGCACAGAGCCCATGCCAGCATGGAAAAGGCTCTTTTGTTTATTGCATCGGACTCGGCTCCCTGGCGGTCCTCGGGGATCACGAAGTCTGGGCGTAACAAAATACAGCACTGGGTGTAGTAATAAAAACAGCAGCCATTTACTAAGCGCTTACTATGTGCCAGACACTATTCTTAACTATTTTATATACACCATTTCAGTTCATCTTCAAAAAACTATGAGGAAATGAGCAGGGAGAAAGAGAGAGCCAGATGTCCCATTCTGCTTGGGGAGAGTAAGAGGTAAAAGGTCATGCCACAGGACTGAATCTCAAGGCTAATCGGCTTCCAGTGCAGTGTGTTGTCATCATCTGTGAATTTACATTACAGCACCGACCTAGACACTTTTCCAGATGGCAGGCGCAATACAACCTACAATTTTCAGATGCTATATGATGCTCCCAGGCAGTATACGTCAGGTGATTTATCTTTGTTTGCCACAACCACCAGATATCTTGGTCTACATTTAGGGCATTTCAGTTAAAAAATAAAGGTGAGTCTGGCCAGTGTGGCACAGTTGGTTGAGCATCAGCCCATGTACCAGAAAGTTGCTGGTTCAATTCCTAGTCAGGGCACATGCCCTGGTTTCAGGCTTGATCCCCAGTAGGGAGCACACAGGAGGTAACTCATGGATGTTTCTCTCTCATTGGTGTTTCTCTCTCTCTCCCTCTACCTTCCTTTCCCTGAAATCAATTATATATACTTAAATGGAGGTGATTCCTGGCCAACATAAGGGTCAAGTCTTCATCAGACAGATGTCACTTTGTGGTCAGCCTCTCTATTCGGACCATGTGCACAACATTACAACTTTACTAACCTACTACCAGAACAATAAAGAACGATTACCTCGAGTATTCGGTAGGTGGCTGAGGATCCAGGAAACTCATCAGCACAGATTTCCAAGTGACCGAGTTTCTGAGTTACCTTCTCCTCCACAGGAAGAGCCTGTGCTTTATGCCCCAGGCTGTTTGAAGAGCATTTGTGCTGTTCTTCTGTTATTAAACCAGGTTCACCCGCATTGCTCCTACATTCAGGCACTTCGCTCTTCTTCTCTGAGAGCCAATCCATCAAGTGATTTTGGTTCTGACTAGGTGCCAGCTCTGGGAATTCAGTGAAAAGCCAATGCCTGTCCTTGAAAAATCCATTTTCATGGATTTTGTAGAAGTCATTCCAATATTTGTGGGCATTGGTCTCATAATCAACTGTAAATGTTTAAGAAAAGACTTTAAGAACCATTTCTCAACACTTTATTTGTATCTACTGTCAACTGTCACCTTGCTTCATCAAATGTCATTTTATACTAAAAGTATCCTCAATTAGAGCCACAGCGTCAGAGATGGAGATCATTTAGTGCTAGACCTATCACATGCGAATTCCCTCCATATATTGCCCTTCTACGGAGTCCAACTTCTGCCTAGGCTCTTACTACCTATCAATTCTTCTCCCACGTCTTTGGATGGCTCTTAACTATTAGAAAATTCTAATGTTCAAAAAAATCTGTCTAATACCTCATGGCCAAAAGGTCCTACATTTCTCAAGACCATACAGAACAACTCTTTTGTGTTTGAGGGCAGTCATTTCCCCCTCTAGATCTTCTTTTACAAGCTAAACACCCCAGGTTCTTGTTTGTTCCCCATGTGAACTCAATGGTTGTGATACAGGCAGCTCTTCTTTAAATATGCTCCTTTGTCGATGGTTCTTTAGAGTGTGGATACTAAAGAGGAAAATAAAGATTGTTGACAAAGAAAAAATGTCTCAGCAGAGTAAGAGTTTTTACGATAGAGGACAGGATATATATACTAAAGAAGTGTGGACTGCTGAAAAGAAAGCTGTTGTTGAATGTGGTCAAGGTTGCTCTAGATTTCAGTTTTCTGCTTGTTGCCAATACAGGACCTTGATTAGTGTAGCAGAATAAAAATCTAAGAAATTGGGTTTTAGTTTCACCATTGCTACTAGTACTAACTGTTTACTTTCATGTCCTGGGGTCCAAGTTTCTTTAATTGTAAAAAGGGGTTATTGGATCACATGATTTTCAAATTATCTTTCAACTGTAACTTGCTTTGATCTAGTCTGTCAAACTATGCATGGTAAATATTTTGTAACTGGAATCTTCTAATGGTTGCCACCAAACTCTTTCCGTGGGTCCTACTCTCCAACTGCTAGTCGTACCTTCAATCATCTCTTAGGCCTAGGCCCAACATAGAGTTTTAGTGTCTAGGAATATTTTGCAGTGAAATCATCCACCTCTCCAGAAGCAGTATCTTTTTCTTTGGCCAGATTTATCTCCATTCTGTTTCACCTACCTTTCCTTGGCAGGAGCCCCAAATTCTCACAGCCAGTACACAAAAACACACACACATAATTCACCAGTCATTAGTCCCCTTCTTCCAACATTTAAGAGTCCAACCACTTGGATCTAGCTTCAGTGGTGACATTTCCTCAGGCAAAGTCATGTGGAATATACATCCTCTCTAAAACAATCGTATGGCGATTGCCAGAAGCCAGCCATATTAATATGGGTCTAGCCGAAAACCGGTTCAGCTCAGTGGATAGAGCATCAGCCTGCGGACTGAAAGGTCACGGGTTCGATTCTGGTCAAGGGCATGTACCTTGGTTGCAGGCACATCCCCCGTGGGGGGTGTGCAAGAAGCAGCTGATGAATGATTCTCTCTCATCGATGTTTTTAACTCTCTCTCTCTTCCTCTCTGTAAAAAGTCAATAAAATATATTTTTAAAAAATATGGGTCTAGTCAACATAATTAAAAACTTAAGCACTAGAAAATAATATCAAACCCCCCTCCTAAAAAGAAAAACGCCCTCTATGCCCTAACAAGACTTTACCGGTGTAGCCCATTTCCATCCTTGCACATCTCCTGTTCTACCCCCGAGCCCAGATGAACAAAAGGCTCTTGGCGCCCTCGGTTCTCCGCCTCCCGGAGAGCGCGCCCAGCAGCAGGCTGGGCTGTGGAGTCCACTGAGAGCCCCCGGGGCGCACCTTGCTTCTCCGGGCAAACGCGCTGGGTGCTGTTCTCCCGGACTTTCCTCTCGGCCGCCGCGGCCTGCTCCGCCGACCACTCCACGTTGTCCCTGGGGAAATCAAACAGGCAGCTCAGGGGCCTCGCGCTCCCGCGGCGGGCGGAGCGAGTAGCCGGCCTCGGAACGCCTCCCCCGGGAGCGGCGCGCGCGGACGGAGCCCGCGGGGCCCGTGGCGGGCGGCCTGCGGCTCGGCGGGGCGCCCGGGGCGCGGGGCGCAGGGCGTGCCGCCGGCCGCGCCAGGGGCAGGGCGGTTACCAGGCATTGTGGTGGAAGACCCGCGCCGGATCGCTCAGCAAGCGGCCCCCGAACTGCTGCCTCCTCCCGCCGGGCTCCGGGTAGGAGTCTGCCATGATACCGGAGCCGGAAATACCTACCGCTCCATAAACGCGAGAACTTCCTGTGGGGCCACGCCCCTTCCGGGGGCGCGGGGGAAAGGGCGGGAAGAGGCGGGGGCGGGGCGGCTCAGGTGGCCTGCGTCTGGGTGGCGCTGGCCCCTCTGGGTGGGATGGAAGGCTCTGGTGGGCACGCCTGGCGGCAGGAGAGTGGGAGACGGCCCACTGGAGCCTGCCTTCAGGGCTGGGAGCCTCTGACAGGTCCCCCAGTTCACCAGCTTGTAAGGCAGTTCCACGGTAGAGCCGATTGGCCAAAAGAATTGAGAAAAGTAGCTCGCAGGGTGAGGAAATAGGGCAATTCTCCAGCCTCTCCAATCAGCTTTTCATAGGTGAAAAGCTATGAAATAGCTCCATACAATTTTTTGGGGGGAAGGAAATAAATAACTGAGGAGAACTTTATTTTTTAAAAATATATATTTTATTGATTTTTTTTTTTTTTTTTTACAGAGAGGGAGAGGGATAGAAAACTAGAAACATCCACCAGCTGCCTCCTGCAAACACACACACACACACACACACACACACACACACGGAATGTGCCTGCAATTAAGGTACATGCCCTTGACTGGAATCGAACCTGGGACCCTTCTATCCCCTGAGCCAAACCGGTTTCGGCCTGAGGAGAACTTTAAAAGTGTTTGTTTTTGTTTTTGTTTTTATAACCTGTTTAAATTATTCATATCCAAGCTTATTTTGCACAGTCAAGATTGTAATTCATGCACAGATGTAGTTTTGTGACATTAATACATTTCAGCCTTACATTTCTAATTTGATAATCACTACAAAATGATTCTCACAAGAGCCGGCTGTCAATATAAGATAAAGTTAGTTGAGAAGATTTCCAGAAGAAGGATGATTACCATTTGGAAGAAGAGAAGGGTTAGTTATTTGAGTAGAGAAGTACTTGACTTACACTGGTAACCAGTGATCATTTACTCCATTGCAGATTCTTCCCATCATCAAAAACAAGGGGAGCCCTAGCCTGTTCGGCTCAGTGGTAGAGCGTCCGCCTGAGAACTGAAGGGTCCCAGGTTCAATTCCCGTCAAGGGCACATGCCCTGGTTGCAGACTTGATCCCCAGTAGGGGGCATGTAGGAGGCAGCCAATGAATGATTCTCATCATTGATGTTTCTCTCTCCCCCTCCCCCTTCCTCTTTGAAATCAATAAAAATATATTTTAAAAGAAAAAAAAACACTAAGGGGAGCAATGAGAGATTCTTCTATACCTCTCCCACCAAAGAAATGGGAACAATTCCCGGACTCTCTCTAATCACCAAGAAAAATACACAAGTGAATAAAAAAGATAAGATAGTAAAGAACTTGTAGTTTATTTGAAGACAAAAGACTTGCCATTATCATGGTCTTTTGAAACAATTTGAACAAAATCTCCTTTCCAAATAAACACAAGAATTTCTATCTTTTCTCTAGGCTAGCTGTTTGCAGATATGATAGTTGGTTTATGCTTATTCTTGGCATCTTGTTCTCTCATCCAGACTTTTTTCTCCCTACATCAAAAGCTATTAGGGCTCCTAATCAATTGCCCCACTTCTTAATTTCTTACAGAGAGCTGACTTTGTTATTATGTTAGTTCCAATAATTAGTCATTTAAAATGTCCAACAACTTAGGCCCTATTGATATGTTTTTTTAAAACTTTTATTTTATTTTCCCCCATCACCATTTATCCTCCTTGTACTCTTCCACCCCTACCTCCACCCATGAAATATTCTAAAGTATCCTAATACTTAATACTTTCATATAATTATCTTTGACCTCTACAACTCATTTTCCTTAATCTTTTGAAGCAGTTAAATATTTTCTTCGGAAGAAATTTGGAAGACATGGCCGAGTCCTCTGTGGTTATCAGACTTCATACAGAGGAGCTAAGGGTCCCTCTGCTGGTGACTAGTGAGAACTTTACTCGCTCAGTGGGTGGCATGGGTTCAAAGGATGTAAAGGTTAAGAACTCGTTTGGATTATTGCCTTGGGTGTCAACCCGGGTCAGAGGTAGTTAACTGTTTCATGCTCTTCTTTCAGTTTCAATCAGTGGAAAATTTGGTTGGTGTAAGATGTGCTCTGGAACTGAAGGGCGTGGGGAAAGCACCGTGGTGTTATCAATATAATTTGCTCTCCTTAAGGTTTCATAGAACCTGGACAGCACTTATAGCAGCCCAGATAATTGGAAAAGCTGGTTTTAAAACTTTAATTTTAAAACAGATTTTCTGTTTTTTTTTACTTATTGCAACATAAATATGTATTTATTATAGAACATTTAGAAGGTATAGGTAAGACAAAAGAAAAAAAGAAAATATCCCATCCCATCCTTAATTTAACCTACTATTAAATATTTTGGTTTATATCCTCCCTGTCTTTTTTTCTTATTTATTTGTAGAAATAACTTTAAAGTTACTTTCAGAACTGTTCCATGGCCCCGTTTTGTATTGTTTTTACAGCTTCATAGAGATGTAGGTTACATACAATTAAATTAATCCATTTTACACGTACAGTTCAATGACTTTTGTAAAAATCTGTATTTGTGCAACCACCATCATAATTAAGTCTTAGAACTAACCCATAAAGTTCTCTCATGCCTCTTTAGCAATTGTAGCCTACTTTTAAACTTAATAGTGTGTGCATATTATCATTTTGTTTGACATATTCTTTTACAACATTTTAATTATTCTGGTACTGTTTTATATAGTTGCAGCATAATTTACTGGACATTTAGGCTTCTTCAAGTTTCTTACCTAAAAATTCAACATGAAAAAACATCCTTATAATGAAATCATTTTGTACATTTATAGTTATTTCTTTAGGAATAACTTCTAGAAGTGGAAGTACTGAGTCAATGGTTATAATTAGCTGCATTACTAAGCTCAGTGAGGTCAGAGCATTTTATCTGTTTGTTTACTGTTGTATATCCAGATCCTAGATCCAGGGTCCAGATACAAAGTATGTAACTCAATAAATAATTGGAGAGTGAATGGCTGAGTACCCATTGCTCTACTGTATTCCATCAGAGAGATGCCAGTTTATGCTGTCACCAACAGTATGTGGCAATTTAATATAAAGAATATATTAGTGCCCTAACCGGTTTGGCTCAGTGGATAAGAGCGTCAGCCTGCGAACTAAAGGGTCCCAGGTTCGATTCCCGTCAAGGTCATGTACTTTGGTTGCAGGCACATACCCAGTATGTGCACAGGGAGTGTGCAGGAGGCAGCTGATCGATGTGTCTCTCTCATCAATGTTTCTGTCTTTCTGTCCCTCTCTCCTCCTCTCTGTAAAAAGTCAGTAAAATATATATTTTTAAAAAAGAATATATTAGTGTACATTTTTTTATTTTCCAGGACAGATCTACTTAAAATATTATTTTATTATCCCCTTGGTCCAATATTTTGACATCCAAATTAAATCTCTTAGATTGCTTGTTGCACTCGCAGCCATTCAAAAACAAACAATTCTTGTCGAATCATAAATCTTGTTTTTTTTGTTAGAAATCATCGTCACTTATCTATAAAGTTAGTTATTTTCCCCAAAATAACATTATGAATAATGGCAAGTATATTTAGATAGTTTTGAATATTCTTGGTAACACAAAATTACTTCAAGGCTATTTTATTAAACAGTTTTGCTACCTTTACTCTCTTTATTGCTTTTTCCTGGAATGTTATAATTTTACATTATAAGCCACTGGCACCATCAGTATGGAACATGTCCTTTCCTTTTTCTGTTATTTTATTTCTTTTCCTATAATGGAACAAAATGTAATGGGTGATATACACTTAAACATAACTGAAATACCGGTAGTAAGTTTTCTATATATTTTCCACAATAAAATAATTACAACCCAACTTGTAATATAGTTATTATGTGCTGCTTTATTCAATGTATTGAAGGGCAACAAGAAGAAATACATGGATGAAAAGGGCTATTTTTAAAAGGGCCTGAAGGTATGTGGCTAAAGGAGCCTTAGGAACACCCACATTTAATCAAGACTCCCTGGGAGATGGTGATATTATTCCCTGAAACGGAAAGGTCATTGTCATCCATTGCCTCTGGCCACCCTGACCAATAATAAAAAAACCTAATGCCATTTACAGTCACATAAACTCAGATGCTTATTGCTGGGAGGGCCCTTAGGTGCTCACAAGGGCAGCTCTGTGTCCAGGTAAGTGCCTGTTTTCAGTTTTTCTCCTGCCCAGGCAGTGTTGAGCCAGAACCAGATGGGGGCAGCAGAGCGCAGCTGGTTGCTAGGGAGATAACAGAATGGCATTTATTTACTATAGTAAGAATTAGAAAAGGGAAACCATATTATGACTTAAACTTTTTTACTGGTTAGAATTTAAAAGATATCAAAATTTCCAGCTGCTAAGAATGTACTAGACAAAATTAAGAAACCATAATTTTGATATCTATGAAAAAGTAGATTGAAGTGAGCTGCTTAGAAAATGTAGAAATTTCATTGTCGAAACCCTTTGGAACCTTTCCGTTTTCTTTTTCTTCCTGTTTCTATGTCACATTCAGTGGTATCCGAAGAGGAAGAGAATGAAGAATTGTGGGAGGAATTTCTATTCATGCAGGCATCATATAACCTTAAGTCCTTTGGGGAAAGTAATTCTTGGCAAACATTCCAGGACCATGTATAAGTAGAAAAGGTTTCATAAAAGGACTCATTTTTAGTGTCTACTGCAACCAAATCCCCTCGGATCTCATGCCAGAAATTTAGCATATCTTTTCGGTGCTCAAGAGCAACTCCTAAGTGATAGATATCTAGAGCTCTCTTCACCTGTAATGAGAAAGCAGAAGTTTACAGTTGTTATCTTAAAATATCTTTGATTTGTAGACCACAATTCTAGATATCCCAAGAGTTATGTTCTCAGTCTATTTGAAAGTCACCGAGTTTATATATCGGTGGTGCCTCTTGAGGAATTAGGAGTTGATGGACAATGAAAATAAATTACTTTGGAATAATGAGATTATAAGAAATTTTATAAGGATGTTAAAAACACAGTAGACTAGCCAAA